TCCCCGCTCGCCGGCCTCCATCTTGTTCCCCGCCAGGAACCAGTCGACGACAATGCCTTCGTAGGACAGCTCGCAGCGGAAGGCGGCCGTCTCCCCGGCCGTCACCGTCACGTCCTTCAGCGGCCGCAGGAGGCGTATGACTCGAGCTGAGGAGAGCGAGGGCGCGCCTCAGCGTCCAATCGCTGCGGATAACGCGGCGCCCGCCCGCCCGCCGTGACTGCCCGGCGCGCTCACCTTTCACTCGCAGCTGAGCGTTTGATTTGGCGTTGCCCGCTGAGAACTCCACACCTCCCGCCATGTCCATGCGCACGTTGTAGAGGATCAGAAGATGTTTGGGGCCCTCCGCCTTGATTTCCACATCCTGACCTCAGCGTCCAATCGCTGCGGATAACGCGGCGCCCGCCCGCCCGCCGTGACTGCCCGGCGCGCTCACCTTTCACTCGCAGCTGAGCGTTTGATTTGGCGTTGCCCGCTGAGAACTCCACACCTCCCGCCATGTCCATGCGCACGTTGTAGAGGATCAGAAGATGTTTGGGGCCCTCCGCCTTGATTTCCACATCCTGACGGACGGCAGACAAACGGTCCAAATGTCAAAGTTATTAGCGTCATCCGCCCGTGTGTGTCGTGGGGTGGACAACACGCGCGCACAAAGCGATGCAGTGGATTGTTCTCATTCTTCTTATTTTGGCGCGTTTTCAAGAAGTGCAGGAAAGTAAAAGCGGCTTTTCCGTTCCTTTGAAGTGAATTTGTGAACGTGAACAAAAGACGAGCGCTCACGGCCGACTGCTGCAACGCTTCTCCTTTCAGCTTCCAGTGTCCCGGGACATCGTCCTCGGAAATCTCCGTCTCAAACTTGGCCGTCTCCGTCTCCGTGACCTCCACGCTGTACAGCGGACGCACCACCTTGATGTCGCGCTCTGGAGGACGACAGCGTCAAAGTCGGCAGGGATCGAAAAAGACACCGCTCAACATTTGCCTGGGAAGCGCGACAAAGTCAAATGGGGAATCTTCGAAAAAGTGGGCCAAGCGCCCGCGATCTCACTGCGAATACACGCTGTTCGCTCAACGCTAACAATCTATCGGGCTCGAGGCTAACATTCCGAGCATGCGCTCGATCGTTGACATTTCACTGCTCACCTTGGTTGACGTGAGCTTAAAGCTAACATCGTGAGCCTCTTTCTGTTAGCTCAATGCTAACCTTCCCGGCACGGATCTCTTACCTCAACGCTAACGAGCTCATGAGTAAGGTCAGCACAAGACGAACATTCTTTGCGTCCACCTGTGAGCTCAATGCTAACAACTGGACATGTACAGTTAGCATTGAGCTAACATCCTTGCCCTTAATGAGACACTTATGAATGACACGCAAAACAGGGGTCCCGTTTTTCAGCGAGCGGAGAAATGGAGGCTTGGGCGAACGTCGCGCGAGGGTCGGAAACGGGCTTCCTCGGGTGAATGACTCGTCCACACTTCATTGCTTTTTCGAGGGAGTTTGTCAGTCGCTGCCGTAGCCACGTTGCGCTCGTCCGTAACTTAAACAAGGGGCTGAGGGCGGAAGCCGCGTCACCCCGTGGGGGCCAAATGCGTGCCACAGAAAAAGACGGGGAGGGGGGGGAGAAACGACTCTAAGTCGATAATTGAATGGATCTGAAAACAACAACAACAACAAACCAACAAGTGACCCTCAGGCCTTTCGGGTGGCATGGACACAAGTCCCGTCGCACACGTCGCTTGGGGGCCGGCGGGCCGCCATTAAGGGCCAACGCGGTGGATGTCCTCTTACCTTCAACGATGAGAAGCGCGCGCGTCGTGTCGGTGCCGCAGTCGCAAGCGTATTCTCCGGCGTCGCTCATCTCGGCCTTGCGGATGACCAGGATTCGCTTTTGGCCTTCGACGCCGACGCTGACGTTCTTGGAGGGCGTGAGCTCCTCGCCGTTGTGGAACCATCTGACGTCGGCCGACGCCTTGCTCAGCTCGCACTCCAGCTTCACTTGGTCCTTCTCCACCGCCGTGCGGTTCTGCAGCTTGCCGGTGAAGTACGGGTCGCCCTCTGAGGGAACAGCACGTTTGGCAAGTTGGGACGGACGCAAACGACGCTCGCCAACAAAGCTGCTTCGCTACTCCGACCGCCCCTTTGGCATTCCCGAGTTCATCTCTTCAGAGCGGTGCCGTGACATCTGTGCCAACCGACGGCATCGGGCTTGCTAACGTTTGTGAGACGGAAAGACACGGTGCGCTTGAACGCTTGGGCGGGCGACGTGCCATCTCCAGTCGCCTCCTGTTTGCAGCAATGCAGACGGCTTGAACCGGCAGTGATAACGGCTCGTAGCAAGACTTTGAGAACATCCGACGGTCTCGGAGACCCGGAAGGGCGAGCGGCACGCGAGGCTCCCCCCTCTCAACGTGAAAGAGGAGCGCGGCACATTTCAAGAAGTTGCGGGCGCCCCGCGGCTCATCTGCGCCGTCGTCGTCGTGGTGTGAGCGGACGCCGCCGTAGATTGCCCGTGACTGACATTTGGAGAATTCGTCGACGGCCGACCCGACGACTCGGGCCCTTTGTCGGCGGGCCGATGTTGCCTCGCATGCCGCCGTCGTTCGCCGCGCCGACCCACCCGCGGTTGACATCGGCGAGGCGCCCGTATTGAAAACACGCGACAACGGTGGGGGTGTCCACCTCAGGTGACCGAGCAACGACTCGACGACCGCGCCGGTCCCGACCGACAAAAAGAAGCGAGAAGACGGCGCCAAGTACTGACCGATGACGGTGAGCATGGCGCCGGCGCTCTTGTCAGCCGCCTCCACCTTGATCATGGCCGTGTCGTCGAGGGCAACCTCCCTGAAGGTCAGCGTGTGCACCGCGCCGCGGTCCGTCATGTGGACCGCCTTTCCGGGGTGAAGTCGCACGTCGTTCTTGAACCAAACCACGGGGATGTTTTCGTGCGAGAGCTCCACGCTGAACTCGGCTGTTTCGCGCTCCTTCACCGTCACGTCCTTGATGCCTTTGACAAACTCCAAGCGGATTCCTGCGGTCGGGGAGCAAGGGGTTAGCGCCTCGGGCACACATTGTTAGCTGAGAGCGTCGGAATTCCTCCATCCATCCATCCATCCTCAGGAGAGTCGCGGGCGGGCCGGAGCCTCTCCCGGCCGTCATCGGGCAGTTGGCGGGGCGCGCCCTCGACTGGTCGCCAGCCAATCGCAGTTGCGCCAACAAAGACGAACGAGCATTGGCGCTCACAATCGCGTCGAGGGTGTTCAGGTCGTGAACCTGCGGTGCGTGTTTTGGGAGTGCGGGAGGAAATTACCCGGAGAAAAGCCACGCAGGCATGGGGAGAACGTGCAAACTCCACACAGGAGGGCCGGAGCGGGAATCGAACCTCGGGCCTCTGCACTGTGAGGCGGATGTCGCTGACCCGGCGACTGCCGCGCCGCCCGCGAATGAGAAAAGTGACGACAAAATAAATCCATCATTCAAAGTTAACGTAGAAGTGAAAGGATTCGAAAAAAGAAATTGATCTGACGTGAATCGATCCAATGCAGTTTGGCGGAATGCGACGCGTCAGTGTTGGTCGGGCTTTAAGAAGGGGACCGCTTGTGGACCGTGGGCCATACTTTTTCCACGCTCCCCAAAATGGTCCGGAAACACGATCGTACTCGCCCCGCGGCTGCCGTGACCGCTCGACTCACGCCGAGCAAAAACCAAGGCAGGTGTTTTTCAACAGATGCCGTTGCGGAGTTTGAGTACGGGGCGGCCGCTTCTTTTTCCGTTGCATACGTCCCGCGACTTCTGAGCGGTCGGTGTGACGACCGAGGCGTTCCTCCTTCGGCGGGTCAAGACGAGTGCAGCGGCCAGGGGTTCAATGGAGTTGATCCCGTTCCGCGAGGCGGGAGCTGTCGCGCGCAAGCGCGACCCGGGCGTCGGCTCGACTTGAAAGCGCGTCAAAGGTCGGGGCTCACCTTTAATGACCAGCTTGCCGCTCGTCCTCTTGTCCTCGGCCTCAAAGGCGTACTTGGCCTCGTCTTCGTAGGCGGCCGAGCGGACCAGCAGCGCGTGCGAGTTCCCGTCTCGGATGATCTCGTACTTGTCGTCGCTCCGCAGCTCCTGCGAAGCCTTCAGCCAGCGGAAAGACTTGGGAGCTCTGGACACTTCCAGCTCGAATCTGGCGGGGTCCTTCTCAAGCACGTGCACGTCGCTCAGCGGCGTCAGGAAGTTGAGAGGAAGTTCTGACCCACCGGGAGGAGAAAGAGCCGGGGTCAGTAAGAGGGAATGCCGAGCATCCTTCAAAAGGACCCCCGAACCGCCGGATGCCTTTTCGGTCTGCGCAGAGTCTCGCTCATCCGGGACGCAACGTGGGCAAAAGTTGAATGAAGGCAACTGGACTCTTGCGGGTGCTTAGGGGTGGGGCTTGAAGAAGACGCCTTTGACCCGTTCTGAATAAGTTGAAGACGTTTGAGCGCTTTCATCCGCTGCGGGCTTCTCTGGTTCTGAAGGAGTCCAAGACCTTTGACCTTTCATCCAGAAACGTGTTCACTTCTGCCACGGCCAGGGCAGTCTTTCAAAATATCGGTGACTTATCTTTGGGCCTTGGGTCGACTTTAGGCCTTGGTGTTCTTTTCAAAGGAATTGCAGATCACCTCCAGGACTGCGGTTGCGCATCGTTCACGTGACCGACATGAAACCTCAGCGGCCCCTGGCCGGCCGGGCCTCTTGATTTCCTGAAGGCCGACCGTCGGCGGCGGCGCAAGCAAGATTATGACGATGGCGTACGATGGGTTACGCACGTTGCCGGTGGAGAGAGAGCGAGGAAGTGCAAAGCACTGCAAAGCGGCGCTTCGAAGATACTCAAGACTCTCGAGTGGAATTCCACGGAGCCAAGGGCGGGTCCGAAGAAGCCTTTTCGATTCATGGCCAAAAACAAAGAATCGTCCAGTTGCCTCAATTGAACTTTTGGGATTTTCAATTGGAAGAAAGCGGTCCGACCCCGCAACGTCGCCGCTTCACCTTTGACTTTCAGGCTGGCGGCGCATTTGGCGTTGCCGGCGGCGTACGCCACCTCCCCGCTCATGGGCACTTTGCAGTTGTACAGGATCAGCGTGTGCTTGCCTCCCTCCTCCACGATGTCCACATCCTGCCCATCGAAAAGAACGGCGCCACCGGCTGAGCGACGGCAACCAAAGACAACAAAGGAGCGCATTTGACGCGTCGGCGAAAAGAGGCGCTCACGGAGGAAGCGTTCAGGACTTGGCCGTTCAGCATCCACTGGCCGTGAACGTCGTCCTCGGAGATCTCCGCCTCGAAACGAGCCGTTTCCCCGTCGAAGAGCTCCACGCCGTAAAGGGGTCGAAGGAGCTTGATCTCGCGAGCTAGCGAGGACGGCAAACGTGAAGACGCTCGGCCGAGGCGCGGCGGGCGGACGCGACGGTCGGGTTTTACCTTCGACGGTGAGGTCGGCTACCGTCTTGTCGGTGCCGCAGTCGCACGTGTACTTTCCTTTGCTGCTCAGCTCCGCCTTCCTCAAGACCAAAGATCGCCGAGTCGCCTCGGACTTGAGCAGCACCGTCTTGGAGGCGATGATCTCCTTCTCTTCGTGATACCAAACGACGGGGACGTCTTTGTTGAGCTCACAGTCCAGAGAAACCTGCTCTTTCTCCGTGGCCGTGTGGTCTTGCAGTTTCACGACAAACACGGCGTCGCCCTCTGGAACCACACCGTGGATTCATCAATCGACGGCCACCGCGGTCGAGGTACGGCCCGCCTCGCCGCCACCGATTGCGCCGGCGGCGGGCCTCGACCTCCGCCGTCCTCGGGGGAGAATCGGTACGACCCCACCCGCCCCGTGCCGGCAAACGCAAGAGCGGCGAGAGGAAAGAGACGTGTGCCATTACCGAGAACCGTGAGCTTCGCCACTGAGCTTATTCCTTTGGCCTCCGCCTTGATCTGGCAGGTATCGTCGAGCGTCAACATCCTCATTTCAAGAACGTGCTTCTTTCCCTCCACGTGCGCGATCACCGTTCTGCTCACGTGGAGCTTGACTTCGTTTCGGTACCAGGTCACCGGTACGTCGTCGTGAGTCAGCTCGAGCTCAAAGCGAGCCGTTTTGCCCTCTTTGACCGTCTGGTCCTCCAGCGGCCTGACAATCTTAAGCCTCAGGCCTGAAATAGAGCAGGGGCCGCCGCGGCCGTTAAAAGAGGGCGAGCGCCCGAACCGCGGCCTCGGGAGGGAAAACCCGCCAACGGGGGGCGGACGTGAGCCGCCGGGGAGGTGGGGGGGCCTTACCTTCCACCGAAAGCCGAGCTGTGGATTTCAGAGCCGATACCTCGACGGTGTAGTCGGACTCGTCGTCAAACTCGCAACAGTTTATGATCAGCATGTGTTTGTTTCCGTCGTCAATGATCTCATATTTAGGGCCCGGGGTCACGACTTCCGCGCCCCTGAACCACATCACCTTGGGCACCTCCTTGGTGAGGGTGCATTCAAATTTGGCTTGTTTCTTTTCAGGAACCGAAACGTCCTTCAGAGGCTCCACAAAGCCCATTTCGATTTCTGAAAGGTTTCAGGCGTTTGCCGGGTTATTGACAAATCTTACACAAACGCTCACCACGCACGCAAGCGTGCACGCACGCAACGCGGGCATACCTTTGACGGTCAGCATGGCGCTGGTGATAGCATTTAAAGCCTGGTAGGACACTTCTCCCGCTTGATCCAACTGGACGTTCTTCAAAGTCAGGAAACGTTTGTTGCCGTCCACTTTAATGTCGCACGTCTGAAAAATACGATTGACGGCGTTTGCCAAGAATCAGAATCAGAAGCGAGCGGATTCCAAGCCCGCCGACCCCGCGACTTCTTTTCAAAGTCCCTCGGGCGCAAGGACGGACAAAGTTTTTGCGCTGAGCCCCACGTAAAGAAATAGGGAGAACAATTCCATACGCTTCAACCCGTGCTCCTCGATCTCAGACGGAACCCCGAAGCTTGTCATTGACCTGAAGTTTCGGCAGAAGTCTTTCGGGCTCTTCCGCCGAAACGTGTCCGGAAAAAAACGAGCAACAAAAACTCGTCCGAGATTCAGGAACCGACAAGTTCGATTCGAAGTAGGAAACAGAATGAACTGGATTCAGTGATTAATTCAGTTCGCTGCAGGTCAACGTATGAGAAACACCTTCAAGAAAAATAAAACCAGCTTCATGGGGACAAAGCTATTCATTGCGTCAAAAAATACCTCACAAAAAAACTTGTGAGGGGTCATATTATGCTAAATCTTTATTTATTTATTTATTTATTTTTTAAGAACCCAAGATAGATGGATTTCTTGAAAACAAAAATGTGAACTGGAAAAAAATGTGGCAATTTTTCAAAAACGTTTTATATCTGCAATAACGGTTCGAAAGAAAAGTCAGAAAAGCATTCGACTCCTGGTTCATTTGTTTTTGAAATTGACGAACCAGCGTCATTTGCTGCGGCGGGCCGATAAAAAGCAATGAATAAATCAAGAATAAAAAAAATGCGTCCGGCCCCGCGGGGCTTCCTTCCCCCAAGACGTGACTTACCGGAGATCTGCTCAGCACTTGTCCCTGAAGTTTCCATTCCCCGACAACGTCATCCTCTGAAATTTCCGTGTCAAAGCGGGCTTCTTCCTTTTCCACCACTTCCACGCTGGCCAGCGGTTTCAAGATTTCCGCCTGGCGCTCTGAACAAGCACATGAAACGGGTCATCGCGGTGGCTGGCGGAAGGCCAACACGCGCGGCGCGGCTGCGCACCTCCCAGGGTCAGTTTGGCCACGTATTTGCGGTCCTCCACAGCAAAGGTGTATTCCGACACGTCGTCGGGCTGACAGTTGTTGATGGTGAGCATCATGGTGATGCCGTCCTTGCTGATCTCCACCTTGTCGGAAGGCACCAGCTCCGTCTCGCCTTTCAGCCACTTCCAGTTGGGCGTGTCTTTGAAGAGCTGACACCTGAAGATGGCGCTCGATCTCGGTTTCACGTGTTGATCTCTCAGAGGCTTCACCAACCAGTCTTTGATCATCTCTGAGCACAAAGGTTGACGAGGTTTCACGCATCTGCGCCGCGCCAGTATCGCGCGCGTGCCAAGTGCCCCGAGAGAAAGCGCGTCGCCGACTGCCGCTAGACTTGACATTTTGGTCGATCTTTGGTTTCCTGCGGGTACTCTGGCTTCACTCCCATTTTTCAAAGTTGGGCAAAAAACTTGGCGGTCCGCTCACTTTTGCGGCCAGCCGTTGAGGCGTGAACGTTTGGGCGTCGACTCCTTTTGAGGGGACGGCGAGCGTACGGGCCGCAAGCCGTACGCGGCCCTGCAACAGGCGGCCCGCGAAAAGACGGACTAAAATATTGACAAAAATGGTGCAAACGCACACTTGGCAAACTCTCACTGCGGGGGCGGAAGCTGCGCGCCAATCTTGATTTGGTTCGGCGACACAGAGGCGCGCTCGCATGGATTTGCTGCGGAACGAGCGCATCTCAGCGTCACGCTCTGACTTTTCAACGCAACGGAACGGAAAGCCCTCATTGGCGTCGCGCGATTCCGAGAAAACGAGCGCGGCAAAACAAGAGCGGCACGCGAGCCCCCGCGCCCGCACACGTGCTCGCACACGCGCCCGCATACGCGCTGGTTGTTCCTTGCCGTACGACGGCCTCGGGGAACTTTTCGTTTTTCAACCTTTTTGTCCCCGGGCGGCGCTTTTCAAGGACACGCGCGAAAGCGGCCGAACGCGAGCCGCCGGCGCGTCGCTCACCGGTGACGACGACGTTGGTGCTGGTCTTGATGCCGTCCGGCACGTCCACCTCGCAAGTGTAGACGCCGGTGTCTTCCTCGACGGCGTTCTGGATGGTGACGGCGTGCTGCAAGCCGATGATGTTGATGGCCAACTTGCCGGCCGTCCTCTTCAGTTTGACGCCGTTGCGCTTCCAGACGACGTCCCTCTCCTTGTTGAGCTCGCAGGTCAGGTACATGGGCTGACCCTTGCAGCACGTGGTCTCCGGTTCCAACTCTTTGATCCATTTGACGGGCAGCTCTGCACAAGGACGAGACAACATCTTGCAATGCGCACGCTCACAAATATTCACTTGAACAATATCTCCGCGTTCGCGGAGGGGGGGGGGGGGGGGCGCGCTACCCAACGCA